GCTTTTTAGCGGGCAGGTCTAAGTGAATTTTAATGGTATCGTGCAGCCTAATCATCCCCCTGTGGGAAACTTCAACTATCAGACCTTAAATCAACTTTTTCACGAAGTAAAGCCTCTTCATTTCGAGAGCAACATTTTTATTAGTCTTGAGCACAGTTTTTTAACAATCCTATGCTTAATCTGTGAACAACTTGTGCCGAAAACTATGCTCAAAATGCTACAGATATCAACTTTGAGGGCATTATCATTTGGTTCATCGGCTTTGAATGTCCGAGAAAGCTATCGTTGCATGACTAAAATAAGGGCTTGACACCTTCTGGTTTATGGCTTGACTTCTTTGTACTTTCGGTCCACTTTAAGCGATCGCCTTGCTGATGGAACTCGGAAACTCATGATCACTTTTAGATTAGGGCCTGTCTAACACCTTGACCTGCCTCCGGGCTCTGGGACGTCTTCATAATCATCCAGTAACTTCGAGAGCTTTCGGAACACCGACCAAAGCTAGTCTTCTTTCGCATCGGTCGCAATACTGAAGTATGGGGATTTGGGCCCTATGTGAAGTGCTTCTGCTCACCGACTTGTGCGTGTTGCCAAGACGAAGAAGACAAGGACTTTCAGACCAGACGTAGAGGCTCAGACAGGAAAAGATGAGACAAAGTCTGTGACCCATGGTGTGCTCAAACTCTACCACCGTTTTTAGGCTGTAATTGCAGGCTTTCATGACTAAAAAAGGAGACTTCCGATTTCTCATAAATCGGGAGTCCTTAAGTAGATCCATCCAGTCCCAGTACATTTTGCCTGCCCTTGTTTCCCACAATTGAGCCTAATTCACACGCTTTTGCCGCCTCATAAAGCAAATGCCAGACTGCAGAGTTATTCCGCTATTTTCCACATCTCTGGGCGTATGTTAGCATGCTTTATTTATTTTCTTTTCCTGCCCTTGCCTAACCGTTGGCAAAAATGAAGAAGGGAGCTCATAGCAGCTCTAACAAAAGCTCTTTCTTAAGTGGACACAAGCAGTCCCAATTTCGGTATAAATAGACCTTGGCGAAGTCGGAGCTGACCTTAAATCGGGATGAGATAGCATCTTGAGACCAAATTGTCTGATTTTGGGAAAACTCAACTATCATGCTCCAAATCACCTCAAGGCTGACTAAATAATTGTTTACGAATTACTCACATGGAAGAGGCTCTTTAATAAGGTGGTGGTTTCACATCGTTTTGCAACTTGGTCGTGTTGTCAGAGCGACCTTGTGAGATGCACCTTTTCAGAGGCCTCACATCAATATGAGAAAAGTCATCTACCAGTCCTTAACCGAAATGGGGTTTACGCAGTTAGCATTCAATGTCCGTTGCTAGTCTCGAAGGCCTATTTAGGAAACGACGCTTTTACATTAATTGTCAATTCCCAGTTTCTGGTATTGCCCAAATTCTAGTAGGCAACATCACTGAGATTTGCCATTCCCAGCACCAAACTACAACACGTCAACAACCAAGTGAAGACTAATCATTCATCAAGTTTTACCGAACAGTTGTGGATGACACGAAAATAGAAGCCGTCTTGTTAGATATACCAAAGGTTTCTTGAGAAATGTTGTAGTTTCGAGAATATACTACAGATCCACTGTGCTGATGAAACTTTTCTAAGGTATGCCCTCATCTTGCGACGACAAAGTGGGTGAGCGCCACCGATTAAATATATACTAGAGTAAACTTAAAAATAAATCAGTGTGCAATGAATCCAAGATACAGAAATCGGAACAGATCTAAAGTTTGTCTGATACGGGGCATCAGAATGAGTGCACCAAGGCAAAATGCTTAACAGGTAATGAAAACTTTCCTATTAAGAAGAGACTTAGTGCATGAATAGGGACTAAATAGACTACCAACAGCCAATTACGAGTGTAGGGCACTGAGCAGGAACCTCCTCTAGCAAGGGCGGAAGAATAAGTGAACCACCACCAAGATGAAAGAAGCGGCTACATTGGCTCCGAGTCTGTTTAGGGCTCAAAACTATCAATTGCTTCATTAGCATTGTCATTGAATGCTACTCAACACACGAGTAGGCAAACATCGGAACATACCCTTACAATTGCGGGGTCAAACTAAAGATAATTGTGCAGAAAATACTAATTTTCCACCACGTCCGTGTCGATTCAGCACATTTGCCATCATGCAAGGGAGAGAGTGAATTATTTGGCTGAATGATCGGATTTAACTCATACTGTAGGTTTCAGAGATCTTGGTAACCTCTCGAGACAACTCAGTTACGAAGCGTAACTGGCTTTCGATAAATCTCTTGAGGTAGCATTGCTGGAAAAACCTTCATTTCCTATGAATGTGCATGATAAATAGATTCGAAGGTTGATCTCATCAAGAGACGATGGCTGAATTACGTTGTACTGCAGCAGTTTGGCTTTGATACAGCCTTCAGTTTGATGTAGTTCACAAGATATCCTACCTCATTTTAGGTGAAAATGAGGTATGAAGACAAGCTGTTGTGGCCTCTGGTATGGTCGCAGTCTCCTTTCGATTTATATAAGTGGGTTGACCTCGTTGTCGCAACTTGGTCTTGTGTTCAGGGCGACTTGGTAGAACGCACCTAGTCCAAATTTGTCTGCCATAGTAGTTGTCATGATTCCCAGCATCAGACAGGGGACTTGGTACATTCTCAAACGTTTCGCCGGCATCGTAGTCGGCATCATCAGTGAGTTTTGCTATTCTCCACACCTAGCTACGAACTCGTCACTGATGATGCCGGCGAAACGTTTGAGAATGTACCAAGTTCACTGTCTGATGCTGATAATCATGACAACTACTATGGCAGACGACTTCGGATTAGGTGCGTTCTAATAAGTCGCCCTGGCAACAAGACCAAGTTGCGACAACGAGGTCAGCCCACTTATGAAAATGGGATGAGCTTTCTTCCATCATATAATGGACACCATCAGAACAGGAATTCATTCTTGTGAAAGTCTCGCTTTAACACAAGGCCTTCTTGACCTAGCTTGGTGAGGAGCAGGATGAAAATGGAATTAAAACTTCGTTGCTCTTTTCTTCTCAACTCAAATGGCCGCTGATGATGCTAATGCTTAAGCTGATTCTGCCCATGATGATGATGAGGGCTTTGAGTCTTTTGGTCGGGAGGACGTCTAAGCCTAGTTACCAAGAATGAGGTTCGCAAACTCCTACTATTAACAAACCTCTTTACCTAGTGTTAACATGAGACTTTTACAAGAATGAGTTCCAGTATAGATGATTTCCATCATATGATGAGCGAAAGTACAGCCTGTTTACAC